ACAGAAAGGGAGAGAAAAGGAAGAGAAAGAGACAGAAACAGAGAAAGGGGAAGAGAAAGAGAAGGAAAACAGAGAGGAGTGAGGAGAAAGAGAGAGAAATAAAAGTGTGGAGAAAGAGAGAGAGAGGAAAAGGAGAGAAAAACTAATAGAGAGAATGAAATATAAAGCAGAAAAAGAGAGAGAGTGCATGTAAAAATCATGAAAGGAAGGAATGACATGCACAATTTTGAAGAATTGTCACAGAAGGTCCCAATCGCTCCCTATTCGTAACCCTCTTTGGCTTTTTCCCCCCAGCATTTAAAAATGTTTTCTGGCAACAAGTGGCATTTTAAAAAAACAACAACCGGTGAGCCAGACCAACGCCCAGAATAAGTTGCATTGCATATATACACCCTTCTTCTAACAACAACACAAAAAAAGGTTGCTTCAGCAAGGATGCTAAACAAGAGAAGAAGAAAAAAAATCAGATTTTTTGGCCTTGGATGCAATTTAATAGACAAGTGGTTAAAAAAAAGTGATTTATTAGCAGATAAGCAGCCAGAGACAGAGCTGAAAAAAAAAATATTTCAAATTTTCTCCCACTCAGCAGGAACGTTTTCATGTCTCCAGTCATTTTTCCAGCTCTTGCTACTACCCTAAAGCCTCCAGAAAGATAACAATAGCTCAAGCAGACGTATAAGCAATTTAAACAAAACTTTTATAGGACACATTTTTAAAAACTGACTCCATCTTCTCCTAAACCTAGACAAAAAAATAAAAATAAGGCCTTCTAATGTATCCAGAAGCTTGGCTGGCTTCTACGAGAGGCAAATACAGATAACTCCTCCACTTATAACTATTCATTTAGCGACCGTTAAAAGTTACCACAGCACTGAAAATAAGCCTTAGGACCGTTTTGCACACTGTGGCTGCATCCCCAGGGCCATGTGATCCAAATTCAGACATTTCTGACTCATATTTACGACGGTTGCAGAGTCCCGGGGTCACGTGATCTCCTTTTGCAACCTTCGGACAAAGCAAAGTCCATGGGGAAGCCAGATCCGCTTAATAACCGTGTGACTAACTTAACACCCTCTGTGATTCACTTAACAACAGTGGCCAGAAAGGCTGTAAAAATGGGAGCAAAGCTCACTTAACAACTGTCTCGCCCAGCAAATGTTGAAAATGTCGTTAAGTCGAGGACTTATTATCGCAATTCCAGGCACGTCGACCATGACAGACACCTGGCAGAGGGAATGCGGGAATGTAAATTGGTATTTTCGTTCCACTTCCTTTGTTCTTAGACACAGCAAATTCAGCCCAGAATTATGATGCTTAGGATATTTGAGAGCATCAACCCTAATTTGCTGTGTTTATTCTCAAGAAGGTACATCTGGAATCTTCTCATTTCGCCTGGGAGTTGCAGAATTTGGAAAAAGAAGAGAAAGAGAGAGAGAGAGAAAGAGAGGGAAGATGAACAGCCCTGACAATGGAGGTATTTTTTTCCGTCCTGGCAACAATCAGGGTGCATTCAATTTAGCTAGTTAACATCTGCCACAATTAGCTGCTTTTTGTAACATGGAGCTCGTTCCTCACTTCAGCCAAGAGTGTTTTCCTCTACGCTTGATGAATGTGCTTGAATCATTCACGGAAGAAATTATTCCAAGTTATAAAACTCTTTTTTTTTCTTTTTCTTTTTTCTCATTTCCGGCAGTCTGTTTTCTTTCATTCCTCAGAAACTCCTCCAGTTTAGCTAAAGGTGGCTAGAAATGGTTGCAGGAACTGGGTTTGGAGAGTCTAGCGAAAAGAAGGACTAGGGGTACCACGATAGCAGTCTTCCAGTATTTGAAGGGCTGCCCCAAAGAAGAAGGGGTCAAATTATTCTCCAAGGCACCGGAAGGCAGGACAAGAAACAATGGATGGAAACTAATCCAGGAGAGAAGCAACCTAGAACTAAGGAGGAATTTCTTGACAAGGGAGAACAATTAACCAGCTTGCCTCCAAAAATTATAAATGCTCCAATACCGGAATTTTTAAAGAAGAGATTGGACAATCATTTCCCTTACTCTATACCCTTTATGGGCATGACTGCATTCCCACTCACTCTGGTTAATACTATTAGTAAATTTGCAGATGGTACAACAGTGGTGGGACTCATCTCTGGGGGTGGGGGATGAGTCTGCCTACCGAGATGAGGTGGACCAATGGTTGCTTTCGTGGTGTGGAGACAATAACTTGGTCCTCAACACCAATAAGACCAAGGAGCTGATAGTGGACTATAGAAGGAACAGATCAGACCTCCAGCCCTGGCTTATCAATGGAGACCGAGTGGAGCGAGTGGCCAGGATTTAGTTTCTGGGTGTTACCCTAAAAGAGGACCTGACCTGGGGGGCTCACATTGCAGCCTTGGTCAAAAGGGCCCAGCAGAGATTATACTAACTGAGACTTCTCAGGAAACAACAACTGAATGGAAAACTGCTGGTAACCTTCTACCGCTGCACTAGAGAGAATATCTTAACTTCCTGCACCTGTGTAGGGTTTGCCAGTTGCACAGGGGCAGATAGGAAAGCCCTCCAGAGGGTTAATGTCATTGCCCAGAAAATCACGGGTTGCCCTCTCCCCTCTTTGGAAGAGCTTTATAGCTCCCGCTGCGCTAAGAAAGTTCAAAACATTCTCAAAGATCCATCTCATCCTGGGAACCCTTTTTTTTTCAACTATTACCATCTGGCAGACGGTACAGGATAATAATAATAATAATAAAAACAAGGACAAATAGGCTGAAAAACAGCTTCTATCCCAGGGGAATAACTCTATTAAATTCTACTATATGGTGCAATATTAATGCAATATCAAGGGTTTGCAATTCAATTCAATGTGAAGGATGTGTGTTTGTGTTTATTTTCATAGCCATAATGTACACTGAAGATGGTATTTAATTTCGTTGTACGAGGTGCAAGGACAATAAAGGAAACTAAAGTGAAATGGTATAGGGTTTTCTGCCTAAGCAGAGGGTTAGATTAGAAGACCTTAAAAGTCCCTTCCAGCTCTATTCTTGTAACTCTGTTACTGGATTACTTTTCGGGACAAGTCTGCAGCTGGAATTTACAGCTGCTGCTGAAATATTATAAGCTCTTTAGAGCCTCAAGTGATGGATGTAATTTTTTTAAAAAACAGATAGAGGTAGTCCTTGAATTACAGAGACAACTGGGACCAAAATCACTGCTGTGAGACGTAAGACCAGAGGTCTCCAAACTTGGCAACTTTAAGACTTGTGGACTTCAACTCCTAGAATTCTGGGAGTTGAAGTCCACACATCTTAAAGTTGCCAAGTTTGGGGACACCTGCAGAAGACGAATGCTACTTCCCCAGTGAGTTATATATATTTTTTGCCAGGAATCAACAAAAAAAAAGGTCACATATCATGATGTGACTGTAGGGTACCGCAAATGGTTGTAAATGCCAGCCTGTTGTCAAGTGCCAAGATTGCGATTGTGTGCCTGCAGGGATGGTGCAACAATTGTTAAGCGCAAGTTCAGGTCGTAAGTGACTTATTTGACAGGCCCAAGCCATTGTATCTGAACCCTGGTGACTTTTAGATGGGTGGACTTCAACTCCCAGAATCCCCCAGCTTGCCATGCTGGCTGCGGAATTCTGGGAGTTGAAGTCCACCCATCCTAAAGTATCCAAAGTTGAGAAACACTAGGCTAAGCCATTTACAACTTCAGATGGACCGAAAGTCTGACTTCTTCACACAATTCCAGAATAAAAACTCACCAGCAGAATTCAATTCCTTGTTCAGGGCTCTTAAGGCCTCCCGGTTCTGGTTCCGTTTCTGATTCAGATCCACAATCTAAGGAGAAATGGATAAAACCTCAAGCTTTATTAAAAAGCTCATTTTCACCCAGCATGTCCTAGTCTGCTTTCCTTCTCTCTGCAGGTTGGACAAGCCATATTTATTCATTTATATCAAAGTAGAGCTTGATTTACAACCAGCAAAGCCGCCTGGTCACGTTGTAGGGGAGATGGGTGGGGAAGGAAGGAAGGAAGGAAACAAAAGAAAGAGAAATGAAAAGAAGGAGAGAGAGGGAAGAAAGAAAGAGGGAAGGAAGAAAGAAAATAGAGGAAGAGAAAGGAAGGAAGGAAAGAAAAGAAAGAAAGGAGAAGGGAGGGAAGGGAGGAGAAAAAAGAAAGAGAAAGAAGGAAGGAGAAAGAAAGACAGAGGAAAGAAAGAAAAAGAAAGAAAAGAGGAAGAGGAAGGGAGGAGAGGAAAGAAAGAAAGAGGAAAGAATGAAGGAGAAAGAGGGAAGAAAGAGAGGAAAGAAGGAAGAAGAGGAAGGAAAGAGGGAGAAAGAAAAGAAAAGAAAAAAAAAGACATTAAAACAATTATCAACACTGTTATGGAGTGACGTGTCAGTCTCCCTCTGTAGAAGTTTTCAAATAAGAGGCTTTACAGATATTTTCCCTGGATAGCACGCGTGGGGGCCTTGCTGCCCATTGCTTAGGGGTGAACTGGACGACCTTAGGGGACCCCTTCCAAGGAGACAATTCTCTGGACGTGGCCTGAAGGGGGGGGGGGAATGTTGGACTAGTGGATTTCTAAGGGTTCCTTTCCAAATGGACACTTGTACACTTCCTTCTCGCGATCCTCCTCCGCCCCAAATATTTGCATTCTTCAATCTTGTTGTATATATTTTATATTATATCCTTTGGGGGGGGGGGGGGGGGGGGGGGGGGGGGGGGGAACCCCCGGGGGGGGGGGGGGGGGGGGCAGGCGGAGGACTACAACCCCCATCATGCCTCGCGGCGCCAATTCGCCCCAACGGCAGTCCCCGGCCTACCTGCTGCCTAGCGGCCATCACCTCCTCGGCCAGTGCCTCCACCTCGGCCAAGTAGCGGAGCACGAAGTCTGGATCCTCACCGGCCATTGCGCCGGATTTCGAAAGGAGAGTGACGCCGGGAAGCGGCGCGACTCGACGCGGCGCGGCCTAGTCGGCGCAGGCGCCTTAGCCGGGTGGTTGCCATGGCGACCGGCCAGGGTTTGAAATCTACTCCAGGCTTTCGTGGGCCTCCCTCACCAACCTGGAAAGGAGGCCGGCTTATGCTTCTTCTCTGTGGGCGGCAGCCGGGGAGGACAGGCAGACTTTCCCCAGAGGCCGTTCGAAGCTTTGAACTCCATTTCCCCTCCTCTTCGGCCTCCCAGAATGAGGATGGGCTCAGATTAGCTCTGGCCTCCTTCCCTGCAAGGGAAGGGTCTATCGGCCCTTCCCTTGCAGTTCCACGAGGATGGATTACAAATCCCATCATTCCCATCGTTGCAGGGGCTGCGGCGCTGGGCATGATGGAAAACTGAGTGATGCACTGAAAACAGCCAGAGATAGAAGCAAAGATGACAATGGCCTGACTTTTCTAGTGTGCAGCTCCTCGCTGTGTTGTCTGAACCCAGTCGCATGAGTCACCTTGACCTGCTTTGGGAAGGAAAGACCTGCAGGTAGCATTCGCATGACACCCAAAGCTTCCTTTGAAATGTGGGGCCAGCTCAGCCAATTACGCCAGCATTGTGTGAACACCAAAATGGGTTAATTCACCAACCCTGATTTGGGCCAAGGGATGAAACATGCACCGCATATCACCAGTTTTCTTTTTTATCTGTTTTTGTTGTTCTCATAAACGACATAGTGAACATACAAAATACTCCTGCCACCTATTTTCCCCACAATGACAACCCTGCGAGCGAGGTTGGGCTGAGAGCATGACTGGTCAAAAGTCACCCACCTGGCTTTCATACCTAAGACAGGACTAGAACTCTCCATCTCCTGGTGATTGGCCCAAAGTCACCCAGCCAAATTTCATGCCTAATGCAGGACTAGAACTCACAGTCTCCTGGGGATTTGCAGGAAAAGCCCAAAGGGAACATCAGGCCAGCCATAAAACAAACTTGCATAGGAAAAGAGATTTAATAAAAGGTATTGAAAGAAGCCCCCTAGACAAAAGCCAAGTAATTAAGAAAGCTAGGGAAACAAGAAAAAGAAATCCCTTACAAACAACAGGTCATGCCAAATCAGCAAAACAAATAGACACAAAATATATTGCAAAGGAGACAGACAGGAGATTGCCACCAAACAAATATAAGAAAACATTAGGATGAAACTGATAATCCAATCAAACCACCCCGCGGAGTTTACCCTCCGGTGGAAATGAAGACAACCCCCGACAGGATTTAAAACATTAAGAAATACAAACACAAGCACGCACACACAAAAGGAGAAAAGGTATAAAAACCAGGGGTTTATTATACAAAGATGGCTAGCCCCAGGAACGCAGACTTCTTGCTATCTCTTGCCTTCCTGAAAAATAAAAAGAACCAGCTTCCAAGCAGTCGTCTGTGTCCTTGCACCGGAGCTCTCCCAGCAGGAAAATCGAGCCCTCAGAAGAAAGGCATCTTCAAGCCTTTCAACATTACCCAGCGAGCTTTCATGCCTAAAGTGGCACTAGAACTCACCGTCTCCTGGTGATTGAACCAAAGTCACCCTTTCATACCTAAGGAACAACTAGAACTCACAGTCTCCTGGTAATTGACTGAAAATCACCCAGCCTGCTTTCATGCCAAAACTGGGACTAGAACTCACGGTCTCCTGGTGATTTGCTCTATGTCACTGAGCCAGCTTTCATGCCTAAAGTGGGACTAGAACTCACAGTCTCCTGGTAATTAACTCAAAATCACCCAGGCAGCTTTTATGCCCAAAGAGGCACTGGAACTCATCTATCTATTTCTATTTCTGTAACAAGATAAAAGTTTAATCTTCCACTTCTCTTCCCCAGTATATCTTTCATTCAGTTCTTGGAGAGAGAAAGAGAGTATATATCGTGGAACAAAACTGTATTCAGATAATATTTTTTTCTCCATTCCTCCATGCCTTCCTTGCCTTGACAACTTTCTCTGGCCAAAACCCCTGTGATGGATGATTTGCTGCAGAAGCGGCTTTCGAAGAGCTGGCAGCCTCAAATGGGGAAGGGTTCTGGCGTCTGTTGGGGAGAATGGCTGGTCCTGGGAGAAAAAAGCCAGGAGAACTTTCGATGAACTGGCAACTCTGCCGCACGGAGTCCTAAATTACATTAATGTAATTAAACTGGATCGCTCGGTTCACGAGAGGCATCTGTTAAAAGCGCAGAAACGATAAAAGTGAGCAATTGTGGCTCGTGCCTGCCAGAAAGCCAATCGTCATTTAAGACAAGAGTTTTTCCAACCTTGGCAATTTTAAGACGTGTAGTCCAAAATTCCCAGAATTCCCTTGCCAGCATGATTGAGAAATCCTGATTTAGGAGATTATAAACTTTTTTTTTAAACAGAGACCCTTTGCTCGCTGCTCAGCTCCGTTGCTAGAAAAGGCTTGGAGTATAGAGCTGAATCATAAAGTCGTGAGCTTGGAAGACCGTTGTGAAGTGAATTTAGCTCCATTTTACGAGCTTTCTTGTCACAGTTGTTAAGGGAATCACTATCATTGTGAAATAAGTAACCTGGTTGGTTGTTAAGTGAATCTGGCTTCCCCATTGACTTGTTTCTCCATAAGGTTGGATCACAAGACCCCAGGAGACGGTGATCGGTTGTGGTTCACCAGCAGCCTGGGCAGATGGCAGCAGAATTGGACAGCGGGGAAGAACGGGGACCAGTCTGGGAGTCTGGGGAGGACTTGGACAAGGGGTCCTGCATCTGATGCAGAGATGGGGCCAGGGCCATCTGGGAGTGGGGTGCTGCCTCTGGAGTCTCCGGAGTCTGGCAGCAGCGAGGCAGAGGAGCAAGGGGAGCCTGTTCCCAGTGCACAGAGCTGCTAGAAGGCGAGAGCAGCTGAGACAAAAAGGGGCGACTCAAGAGTAAGGCCGGGAGGTGATGCTCCTTCCATAAGGTCTAAAGGACAGGCAAAGCTGAAGAAACCTTTGCAGGAAGCAAGGTCATTTGCTCTGTTTGGGTTAATCCTTGAAGCTCTGTGTGGACTTTGCGCTTCAGTTGGTTTTTTTATAGTTCGTTTGGCACTTTAGTTGTTGGCAGCAATTCAAAGGAGAGAAAGGTGGGTGCTTATCTCGAGAGACTGTTTGGGACTCATTACCGGCTGGGAATGAACATAATTCCCAGCGTTGAAATAAAACAAGAAGTTGTTTGGACTAAGAATGTGCTTAATTATGGTCTCAGGAAGCCCTGGTCAGAACACGACTGTTATAAACATGTGTCAGTTGCCAAGCATCCAAATTTTGACCACGAAGATGCTACAAGGGCCGTAAGTGTGAAAAACGGTCCTAGGTCCCTTTTTTTCCTGGCTGTTGCAACTTTGAATGGTCACTAAACAAAAAGCTTGTAAGTCAAGGACTACCTTTACGTCAGGGGAGAACGAGAGAAGGAATCCCTGAAAATGCATGGTTGCATTTCTTCCAGGACAGTGTCCTTCCACCCTGGCAACATCAAGAGATGTGGTTTTCCAACGCTCAGAATTCCCCAGCAAGCATTTCAAGGCAAAATGCAGAAGGGAACTTGGATCAAAAAATTGGTTTTGGGAAGGGGTTTAACGCTTTACCCCGGCCCTCTGTGCTTTGTGCAAGGTTTACCAACTCTGGTAAGCAGACAGCATCGCCCCCAGAATGGATTTGTAACTGGCTGACAAAGTGTACTCAACGAGTAGTCCTTATTGGTACTACGTCTACATGGAGGGAAGTAAGCAGTAGGGTACCACCAAGTGTTTGTACCATCTCCGGGCCCAAAAGACAGATTTCTGATTCTTTGGACCCAAATGGAAAGGGAGGTGGGGGTCAATCTATTCTCCAAAGCACCTGAAGGCAGGACACGAAACAGTGGAATGCATAGAAACTCGTCAAGGGGAGAAGCAACCTGTCATTAAGGAGAAACTTCATAACGTGAGGACAATCAATCCGTGGAACAGCTTGCCTTCAAAAGTTGTGGCGGCTCCATCCCTGGAGATTTTCAAAACAACAGCGGTCACGATTTACGCTCATAGTTCATAATCATAGTCATAAGTTGAGGACCACCTGTGTCACCGAGGTCCTCCAGAATCATTTAACAGTCACGTTACTAACCTAAAAGAATTATAGTGATTCGCTTAACAACTATGGTAGGAAAGCTTGTAAAATGGGGGTAAATTTCATTTAACAGCTGTCTTCGAAGACTCCTCGTTGTGTGTGTTATCTGGACCCACACCAGTGTGGTCATTTGTGGTTCAGTGAACTTGGAGGTAATTCCACAACAAGGTTGACAAGGTCTGTGAAACCAGCCATCTGACTCCCTTTTCATCCTGGTTTTGTAATGTGTCACAGTTACTTCTTTAGCGGACAAGTCCTCGCGATACGACAGCATAATGCTAGAGGAGAACTGGTGTCATCGCTGTCAGTCATTCGGTTGTGTCCGACGGTGTCCGATCAGCCGTCCATTCACACTGCCTCCTTCAGATCCACCATGGTCATTTCAGTTGCCGTCCTTTATAGCAGAGGTCTCCAAACGTGGCAACTTTAAGACTTGTGGACTTCAACTCCAAGAATTCTGGGTGTTGAAGTCCACAAGTCTTAAAGTTGCCAAGTTTGGGGACCCCTGCTTGATAGCGTCCAGCCAGCAGGGACTTGGTGGCCCCTTCTACTTTTTCTGCCAATCGTCTCCAGCACAATTGATTTTTCCAGTGACTCGGCTCGCATGACATGACCAAAACACGACAGCTTCTGCTTGGCAATCTTGGCTTCAAGTGATATTTTTGGATGAGGTTCAGTCTCTAGGACCCCCTTTGTTTTATCATTTTTGTAGGAAAAGATAATCCAAAATACAAATCCGCAAACATCGGCAAACAAATAACATCTGCATCTTGAGCCTATCTTCTTGGGTGTTAGCTACTCCTGCCAGCTTAGTATCACCTGAAAATTCGGTACGGTCCCCTTCTGTTCCCTCATCTAAGTCATTAATAAAGATATTGAAGAGTCCTGGGCCTAAGACGGAACCTTGTGGCACCCCACTGCTTCCTTCCCTCCATGG